TGATGTGGCACTCTCAGCACTGGCTTCCCTGCCTCTTTGCAGTGCCACCACACACTGCCAGGTGCCTTACCTGCCTCCGGGCCACAACGCACCCTGTTCTTCGTGGTGAAAAAGGGGATCCGCTTGGTTTTAAATCCCTCGTCGCTCCTGTGGGCCAAACAACAGGGTGACACGTGGAGAAAAGAGCCTGGACAGGCAGTTTGAGAAGTGTGCTGGAGTGGGGCAGTGTCCAGCCCCACTCAAGGCTGTGGGATTCACAGTGCAGCTCTTTCGGGTTCCTGCCTGCTTCTGGGAGATGGGATTGAAACCCGCGGTGCAGCCACGCAGCGAGGCTCCACCAACACTTTCCCAGGCCCAGTGGTTTTCTTCTGGTAAATTAACAGAGCTCTGTAAGGCAGCACTTTCAGCTCCCAGGGTGAGAGCACTTGACCCCCAGCTTTATGGGTGTCAAGGTTAAGTACACTGTCAAACAGCAAATTGAACAAGCTTCACGAGAAGCGCTGGAGAACCGACCTGCTGCCATTCCCAGCTCTCACCAGAGTCTCTGACGAGATGACCCAACAACATGGCTCTGGAAATGCACTGAGACATTCAAAAAACAGTAATTTGTCTTTTGCAACTGACATAGCAACTCAGGAGGACTCCAGGAGGTTTGCTGGACAGGCACCCAAACGAGAAGATGTGAGTATGACACAATTCAGTGCAGTTCTGGAGAAGACAAGGGACCTTTAACTCCCTCTGTTAAACACCCCTGTTGTAATTTCTAAATAGAACACCACCACTCTTTTACTGGATGACCTTATTAACGTCAGTCTTCTCTATGAACTTGCAGCTGGTTATGCTTCCATTTAAAAAACAAAGGTTTTTCATTTTTTCCAAAACAATACTCCCACACTAACTACAAACAGCAGCCCAGGCAGGCAGCTCACGGGGAAGATACACTCCCCACAAACCAGTGCTGGGAGTGAGGAACCACACACTGGGTTAAAGAAATTTCTACACGCTCTGAAATGAAACTGCCATTATCAGTAATCTATCCACTTAATAAATGATACAGTGCACTAAACTCCCAAGGAACTGGTAAGGGATAATTCATCACTGTCACAGACACACAATATACTTAGAGATGTGGTATGCGGGTATCAATGCCTTCTGTGCAGGTAATTAATTCACTCCTGACACCCTTTGTATTACACCAGGGATCAGGTTTGCTGTTATTTCTCCAGCTTTTGTTTTCTCAGGCAAAATCCGAACGAAACACTTACTTCCCAAGTTGGTTTTTTGAAAGATCCAGTGATTTAAGTTGTTTGCAATTCCACTTATCTTGTGAAGGCAACGTAACTAACTGATTTCCCAGCAGCTTCAGGGACACCAAAGCCTAGAAGAGGAATAGCCTGGAGTTAGAAAGCAGAGTCCATCAAGCACACAGAAAAAGGGTTTTTAGCATGGCTATTAAAAAACAGAACATGAAGAAAGTACATTTTATTCATTGGAACATCCTGTCCGTGCTGCCTAGCATGCAAACATTCCCTCCTTGTCTCCAGCAAGTATATTTTCTGCACGAAGCAACACCACTGTTAGTTCTGGGAGATTATTAGTCTATTTGCTGACAGATGCAATTGGAAATAACCCATATAAAAGGACATTTTGCTTTTGGTGAGGAAACCTTTCCAAATGGAAAAGAACAGTATGATTTACCTACACAGTATGCCACATATGAAGGAGAAGACTCAGATGTGTGTGAGAGCTCGTGTCACTGTGGGCTTACACCTGCTGAGGGTCTCTAAAATCTACATGATAAACAAACTATTTCACACAAGGAGAATTTTTAATTGCTTTGCTATTACATGTGTATTAAAATGGAAAGGATTTATATGAACATTCCAAAATTTATACAACTTACCTGCTTTTTCCTCATACCAGAGACAGACAATTTAAAAATATGTGAAGCTGATCAACACTATAGAGTTAACACCACACAGACAGGACTCAGCTGCAAATACCACAAGTAACTTTAGAGGAGAGCTTGTGTTTAATATAAAAAGAAAATGCAGTTCCCACTCAGATTTACTCTTCCATCTGCCCTGAAAAATAATGTCGAGGCTCAAACGAGCATTTTTAATTGGTTGAGAATCCATTTTGCCACTGAAAACCAGTCTATGTAGAGTTTCCAATCAGGTTTATTCTGCAAGTCCCCACCGTGGAAACTGAGATAAGCAGAATGTCAGCTGAATTATCTCGTGCCACGAGTACAGCAGTAGTAATGAGTGATATGCCATGGAAATCATGTTTTAGCAGCAGAGGCTTCAGCTTCAAATGTGTTAAATGTTTTATGTGCTGCAGATAATATAAAAGGTTTATGCCCCTTTTCATCAAGCAGGATTAACAATGTCTCAGGAAGCCAGTCTATTGGCCTCTCTCACCTTTACTCAGGCTGGAAAAATATGAGGTGTCCGTGTGCCATGAGTGATGGACATTTGCTGGAGCAGCAATGCCCGTGCAAAACGCTCCCTCTAGTGATAAGAGAGGGGTGGCACCGGGCCCTGCTGGGACCTGGGGAAGGTAAAGCAACATAGAAAACCAGAGATATGCAGCCAACCACCAGAGGAAAGGGCTGGAAAACCGTGCAGGCTGTAAAACCCTCCCTGCCGCTCCAGTCTTGACAGCCAAGGCTTTTGTCATCATTAGTCTTCCACTGGCTGGAGGCTCCCGTTGGAAGGAAGAGCCAGTCCTCCAGTCCTGCCCTGGCACAGGGTGCTGAGCTCTCTCCAACTGTCAGCATGGGGCTGCTGAATGACAATGCTTCAAACTTCTCCCCCCACACATCCCCGAGGAGGAAAGGGAGGCTACACGTTCCAGAATTAGCACTGACTCTGTTCTGTGTGGTCTAGCTGGGGTGCTTCATCTCCAGTCAACTGTGTCCATGTTACACCTCCCCCACAAAGGCTGACAAAGGCCACTCGCCAGGAGACCCAGAGCCTGGGGAGATTATCTCCAAAGCTTATGGGCCTGCTCCACAGGGGGAAAATTAGTGACTTTCAACTGGCTGTGGCTCTTCATGGCTGTAATTCTGGAGATCACTAGTCCTTGTTTTGCAATTGCCTCTTCTCTCTCCTCTCTAACTTCTCCATTTTTGCTGCCTTTGAGGAAGAGAATGGGTGCCTCCAGAAGTGAGACAATGGCAGCAGCAGACAACTTCCTTCAGAGCTACTGCCACAGCAGGCAAAAAGGGTTCTGTTGTGTCAGATTATACCAGAGGGAAGGACCTGCTGCATCCAGATTAGGCTGCCTCAGTCAGCTTGTGATGGGAAAAAGCTGGCCAGAGTCCTACCTGAATGCTTCCACCCAGAGAAGGTCAGCTCTCCTCAAGAGAGGCAAACTAGTCTAGAGAACTAAGACATGCAGTATGTTGGTTCCTTTAGAAGGCAACAGAAAGGAAAGTTGACAAGGCCTCTGCTTCTCCTAACACCACATTTCTTGTACATACCTCCTATTAGCAACTGAGAGCTGGGCCTAATCTTTAGACCCCTCCACAAACCAAAGGCCAGTGATGAACTACATGTCCCATCAGCCTAGGTCAGAGACATCCTTTGAAGTCCCAGACCTCTTCTGCTTTCTGCTTGTCCCAGGGAGAAGATAGTTCACTGCTGATCCCACATAAAAATATAAGAACATATCAATGTTTCCTACGTTATATGTAGGAACTATCACTGCCCATTTCTCCCCCTTCTACATCTACTTTTGGAGAGGCCTGGATCATGAGTGCAGCCCTATTCACCAACACAAACTCTAAGTCAAGGAGTAGCTCAAACCAGGGCTAATCTAGGCATGGGCTTTCACCTTCTATTTGCTCACCACAGCACTTGGGAGCATGAAAATAACAGCTCTGTATCTCTTTTATGAAGGTAAGGCTGAAGAGCTATGGCTAAGAACTGGCCCTGTTTAAGGCACCCAAAACTTGCTAACTTTGAAGACAGACCATCAGCAGAGACTGCAGTGAGACCTTGACCTCTGATGCCCTGCACGGGTGCTTTCACATCCTTTTGCAGCCTCTGAGCAGCAGCACCCAGAGAAATGTGCCCTTGAAGCACCATCTAGTGTTTAATATCTGTCATGGTAGCTCCCACCCACTGGGCTCATTTTTAATGCATTCAGAAAAAAAGGAGTTTTGGAGACAATAGTCCATAGGATTCATTCTGTTTCAGGAGAAATGCCAATTGAAAACAAATGGTTACCAGAAAGCAAAGCCAAATCTGCAGAGGCCAGCAGTGAAAATAATGAAACTTCTGCACAAAGACTTACCTCTGTTTCTACCTCCAGGAGCCTGAGTTTCACAATCTGGAAGAGAAGCTTGGAGGAAACCCCCAAGTTCTGCTTGGTTTCATGTTGAAACCACATGAAGCCACAAGTTCTGAAGAATTCTGAAGTAAAACTATGGATCTCTAATGCCCATGGGCAAGAATTATTTAATCTACAAGCTCGAAGATAAGAGAGATGCCAACTAGGATGGTTTTTAGCACCTTAAAACATGCTATTTTCAGCACAAAAAGACTAATCCTTAATTACACATCCCTGGTGTGCCAGATTAAGAAAAACACAACTATTTGTGAGCACACTTTACTACATCTGTATTTAAATGATTAGAGCTTGCAGCTACAATGAAGTGGTTGTCTTCCAAATTCTGAAAACCACAGACATCCAAGGAGTTCTCAGAAGACCACTGTCAAAAGCTAGACACCATATCACACTGGATGAGGGACTGAATGTGGTAATTTGGTGGGTTACAAGCTGCTCAGAGGCTCTGTGCAATTGCTGTGTTCATCAGCTCAAAACAGCAGGTAGTATTCTCTCTTAACCAGGCAGTCACTGCTATGACTTCAGGGTCTGAGTAGGTATTAAGAGAAGTACCATGAAGTAGGAAGAAATTACACTCACTTCAAGCTGGAAGAGCCCCGGTGGAACTTCTTTTAGTGAGTTCTCAGAAAAATCCACTTCTCTGAGATGATTTTTCCAGAAAATAGTCAATGCATCAGGGAGGAATTCCAGTGAGTTTCTAGATGCTTTACAACATTTCTGGAAAACACAGAAGAATAAACACACACAGAGTAGTAATCATGTCTTCAAATAATGAGGTGTCACATGCTTAAGGCATTAATAAATTAATTCTAGGAGATCCCTTTAGATATTTTGATCTAGATAAATTACTGCACACACAGGCACACAGGATTTGCTGAGGAGACGCCTTCACTTAATGGATGGGTCAATTCTTTGGTGGGCTAAAAGTATTCCAGAGGTTATTTTGAAAATTATCCCCATTTGCTTTTGAATCTAACAATTCACCAAAGTACACCCTGATCTAGTTGGGGATGTCCCTGCTTACTGCAGGGAGGTTGGACTAGATGACCTTTTGAGGTCACTTACAACTCCAAGCATTCTATGATTCTACTCTGTTCTCCTACTATCTCTGTAACAATGAGGAATAAAGTTTGAGCAAAGTTAATTCTGAATGAAGACTTGAGTGTTCTGTGAAATGATCCTAACAATACTTCCACCCACATGGACTACAGAGAAAACTGATACATCCATATAAGACTTGTTCTAGAAGTTTCTCCAAGCATTCTATGATTCTACTCTGTTCTCCTACTATCCCTGGAACAATGAGGAATAAAGTCACAGGGATGGGTGGATGCCCTAGTTAGCCAGGGGTTTGAGCAAAGTCAACTCTGAATGAAGACTTGAGTGTTCTGTGAAATGATCCTAACAATACTTCCACTCACATGGACTACAGAGAAAACTGATACATCCATATAAGACTTGTTCTAGAAGTTTTCTAGCAATGCCATCAGTGTGGTGAGAACATGGTAGAACCTCAGAAAGATTTGATCGACACCCATAACCCAAATCAGGCAGGGACACTCCCACAGAAACAGAAAAGCTTCTTAGCCTAAGACATCTGACAGCTTTAAGTATCACAGTATATTTTTCACATTGTTTCAACAGCTTTTTCAGCCTCTGACTCTGTCAGAGCAGTCTGACTTACCAAGGGGCAGGCCCAGGGATCTGGAAACACTTTCAGCTGATTTCTGGAAACATTCAGTATGTTTAGGGACTTGAAGCAGTACAGAAAAACCGTTGGAAGTTCCACCAACCTGTTGTCAGAGACATCAAACTCCTGCAGCTTCCTTAAACCAATCCAATTAGTTGCTAGAAAACATGGAACATTGCAGACTTGATGTAAGCATGACAGCAGCCTGATCCAGCAAGATGCTGCATACTTGCTAGGTAAGAGTCAAAGGATTTAATGAGTACTAAAAAACAACCAGGCCAAGTACTTTGGGCAAAGGATTGAGAGATGCTGAGCATCTCTAGCTAAGACCATCTTTAAATCATTATAATAAAAGTTTGGGGTTTTCCTTTACAAATCAGGCCTGGAAATTAAGTGTGACAGGGGACTGTACGTACTGCTTTCCTCGTCAAATAACTTCTCCATGTAGTTTTTGGAAGCAATGAGTTTTTTAAGGTTTTTAAGATGTAGGAATCCAGAGGGGAGAGTAGAGAGCCTGTTGCTGGATACGTCGACCTCAAGTAATCTGTGAGTACAGAAGATACTCAGTCAGGCATCAATAGATTCCTGTTGCCATAGACATCTGTTTTACCAGGACACCTTTAGATCTGAATGAGAGCAGCTGAAATGTGCTCTCACAAGGCAAAGCAAAAACTTTAATTAGAAAATTGACCCTTCCAGGGAGCAGCCAGAAGTGGTGGGGGACAGACAGCAGATCAGATAACTGACACCAGTCAGCAAATGTCAATCTGAGTCAGCTCAGGGCTTAGACTGAGAGGAGGAGCAGGGCTCACCACAACCAAACAAAAGCAGAAGCAACAAGAGACAGCACAGGAATAAAAGCCCCTCCAACTAACTTGGAAACACTGGGGATGCAAAAAGGCAAATTGGAGATTAAACTTTGCAGCAGACAGAAACCAAACCAAGAAGCTCCTGCTTCTGCTCTTCAGCTGCCCAGCTTCACAGCAACACAAGTGACCCGTGCACCTGCTCCCCACAGAGGCTGTTTGCCACAGGCCCCCAGCACACACACCTTGTACAGATAATTTCATCCGAGCACTGCACGCTGGGCAGGTCTGCCAGCTGGTTGTCAGCCAGGCTGAGCTTCCTGAGGTTGATCAGCCCCCATGGGATCACGGATGGAAGGGAGACCAGGCAGTTGGCAGAGAGGTCGAGCTCAGTTATCTGACAGGAGATATCGATCAGCCAGTCCAGATCCACCCAGGGCAGTTTGAGGTTGGACCAGTTCACACACAAAGCCTGCGCATGGCAAAGGGAGAAGAGAAAACCACGTGAGTAAAACCCTGGTTGGTCTCTGTTACTCCACTGGGAATCTGGCAGATTGGAGCACAGACCATAAACATTTTGCTCACTTTCCAATCTGCTTCTAGGAATTAAACTGACTCAGAGATGAAATCATGCCTGGATATCAGCAGCCCCCATCATGGCGCTGCTCCATGATCTCACTCTAAAGACCATAAGCAAGCTCAAGCAGGGGACTTGGACTTCTCTACCAGTCCATACACCAGCTCCAGTGTGCCCCACAAAGGGTGAGCTGCCTTTGCCTGAAACCAGCACTCTCCCCCAGAGCTGGACAGACTCTCATGGTTTGTTCACCCACCAACATGCAGCTGGGGCTGGAATCCCTGCCCCGCACGGCGCATCCGCACCCTGCACCACCAGCGTGATAGGGACAGCTCATGGAAGCCATCTGAAACCCAGACTCTGCAGCCCAAACCTCACTCTGTCTCCTGGACATGGTCTGCACAGCTGCTCAGATCTCCAGAGGACTCCAAACACCACCAGAGGCCAGGCAGGCCAGAGGAAGCCCTGTGGAGCAGCCAGCCTCTGAAACGCTTACAAGTCATGGCTCGTGCATCTGCAGGGAGAAGAGGGCCAGGCCTGCTGAGTGTGGCAACGACTTCTCAGGAGGAGGCCTGTGGCTGGAATAATTATTATATGCCCAGGCACTGCTCTTCCACCTTAAGCCTTTCAACAACATGCAGCCAAACTGTCCTGGGGAAGGTTTAGCTCTTGTGAAGAAACATCTGGGAAAGGCAAGGAAAGGCAAACACCCTCTTGTAAAGCATTCCTAAACACCAGGAATTTGCTCAGTATCACTGAAGAAGATATTTTTGTTTCTGAGAGACATGATTTTGGCAGCTGCCTCCTTTCTAGACAACGTTCTGCTGCTTTTGACAGTAAGACAAGGAATTTGGTTTAAAGTCTTTTGGAAAAAAAAAACCCAGAAGCTGTTGTGAAAGTCATTTTCAGGCTTCAGCCTGGACAGAAGAAAACAAGAACACACAAAGATCATCAATTTAAGTAAAACACCTAAGTTTTTAAGTAAATCACCTAAGGTGATCTTCATTTTCAAGATCACCTCACTGTGTTCCAATGAGATCTATATTCATAAGTACTCATTTTTAAAATGTTAGTCCCTAAACATCTTCATAAGCTCAGTGTTTTTGACATACCTCATCCCAGACAGCCTCAAGGACGTGCTCTTTAATTCTCCACCAGGAGGCAGCAAGGACCCAACAGCAAATTCCCAGCACTTAGCACTTGAGATTTTTAACCCCCAAATTAAAATTAGTATCTTTTGGAAGTGAGAGAAAGAAAAGGGAAACACAGATCTATCTCATATGTATATTTGAGACTCAGAAGTCTAAGTAACAAAGATCACACAGTTCAAATGTCCAGGAGAATGGAATAATGGACAAGCACAAACAGTTGCTTTCTTTAAGAAACTGAAGTTAGAAGTTCTTAGGAGTAGACATGGTGCTTTTGTGCTTTTCAAATATTCACCAGTGAAGTGTCAGGACTGGAAATACAAACGTAAATCTGTGCATTGTATCACTAAGGAAACCAAGGCAGAAAGCACAAGCTGTTTGTCTAAAGCTACATTCACACAGCATCCATACAAATCACAGCAAAGCAGCAGCCACGAGAAATCAGATTGAGCCAAGTGTCCACTGCTACTGCAAAACACACAGCACCTCATGGGAGTGTCACTGCAAAGCTCTCACACTGGCACTAAACCCTTTCTGCTTTACTGCTAGATTGGCCAAGTCTGTATATTTAACAGCTTCCTGCTCACGAACTCTGCTTTAAATTCTGTTTATAGTTCTCTGTTTCTTCACCTGTAACAGACCCAGACTGAGGTTGTTGACATCACTGGACAGCATTCAGTTGTGATTTATGGTAACAGAGTATAAACACACAGGTCAGGTTCCCTTTTCCATCCATAGCCACCCCACACTTCAGGAGAGATGTAGGGGGTGTGCTACTAAGGGACTGGAAGCTCTTCCCAGCATGAGGAAACCTTACTGCAGAAGAGGTGAGACATTTGTGCTGAGACACTTAAAAGCAGCCAGATCCCTAAATCCAGGTAATGCAGGAAACCACCTCTGCACTACAAACAAAATCCTCCCAGGTAATGCATGAAACCAGCTTTACACTACAAACAAAACCCTCAAGTACTATTGATATCTGTCTGCTTTTTAAAAAACTTATTTTAGCATTTGATCTAAAGTGGAATGCTCTGTGGCACCTTTCCTAAGATAAGCATCCAGGACCAGAATATCCAACTGCTTCAACTATTCACAGATTTCATCTAAACAAACTGAAGCAAGAAAAATTGAGGCTTACAGCCAAATCCATGGGCAAATACTTCATGCAAAAGGCTTTTGACAGGTCCTTCAGTCACACTGAGGATGCATGAACCATGCAGGGCTTTGAAATCCTGGTGGAGATGGGAATGAAGGCTGCATAGCTGGCTTGCTCATTTGGTCTTTGCCTCACAGGAGAAAGCAGGTTCTTGTGGTTGAGATCCTGAATTCAGAGCCCAGAGCCCCAGATTTCCTGTGCTACACCAGTCACTGTCCCAGGCTACCCAGACTCTGTTTGCCAGACCAAATAAAATGGGACAGTAACATGGCCCCTTCTCTTAGGGGAGCCTGCTTAAACTGCTCCCAACAAAGCTGCAATAAAAAAGCAATCAGAAAAAAAGAACTGATGGTGCTTATCCCCTGCTTCAGTTCCTGCCCTGTTTCAGGATGGTCTTTACAGTGGCCCCAGGCTTTTATTCCAGTAGAAACAAGTCCTTGTCCTTGAGTACACCAAACAATGCAGAAATAATAAGATCTATAGCCTGTTTTAGCAGGTGCAAGCAAGACCATGTGTCTCTGCTGCTTCTCATTTCAGGCTGATACTCATCTCTATTTTCCATTTAGATTGCTGTGTATCATTTACCTCAAAAATGCAGAGCCATGGCCTCAGGGCGTTTAACCTGATAGAAAAAATACCTGCAGAATTCAGATAGTGACTTCAAAAACCACAGACCAGGTTGTGAAATCCAAAACCTGCTACGAATGCTGCAAGGTAGGTGTCCCCACCTGCCAGGCAGCTTTCTGAATGTCCCTGCACTCAGTCCTCCTCCTCATCCAGAGCCCAGGACTGGCAGTGTCTCTTCCACCAGAGTGCTGCAAACTGGAGCATCAGCCAAGCCCCTTCACCTGACTTAGGGACAGTGGACCAAATTCACTCTAGTGCTCATAACCTGATGGCAGAGGAGTTACCTTAGGGATTTACTTGGCTCAGCATTCTGCAGTGAAAGCATCATTAAGTGAGAGCAAGCCTGAGAGCAATGCCACAAAGAGAGGGGATTTCCTCCCCAACTCACACTTAATCATCTCCACTATCTGCCCAGAAAAGCCCTTTCCTTTGATGCTAAAGGTCTAGGATGCTGAACTTGCAGAGTCAGCAATCAGTTCAGCCTTTCTCCTCTTGGCACTGGCTCATGAGTTCTGTGCTCCAGCAAGAGAGCTGGTGTTGAGGGGCTGCTAGCTCCTGGGCACAGCCTGACTCTGGGTGGCTTACTGCTCTTCAGAAGGGCAAGGAAAGCCTCTGTAGATTCTCCTCTCCTGCCAAAGAAAGAGTTTCTCAATATGAGTCCTGAACACTAAGCAGAAATCATCTCCTGCAGTGATGTCAGGGGATGGCAGGGCACTGGAAACTGTGCAGAAGCAAGAAACCCTGCTGCTCTTGGGCAAACCATGAACTATAAATACAGAAAATATTTACATAGTTTTGAGGCTGTTTGATAAAGTGATTTAAAAAGGCTGTTGTTCAGTTCTACTAAATGATGTGACATGCCCCAACAGAACTTCACCCTTGCCATAGACAGGATATTCTGAGGACAGTGACCCAATTCCTCTATCAATAACACTGCTGTGAATCTTGAGTGGAGCTGCTGTTCCTTTCTTTACAGATGGTGATGTAACTGAGATTAGCCTGTGGATAAAGAAATCTGAGCAGGATCATACACACACCTTTCTATACTTGAGTATAAAATTCTTTGTGAAATATTTCCTAGGGAAAATGTAGCAGTTTAAGCTCTTTCCTAGTCTGTAATGGGAAAAATAAATATATATCTCACACCACACACACTGGAAAGTTAATGTATCTCCATGCTGACTACACCTATGGAAGCCTGGAAATTGTGCCCAGCCACTTCACTGCAGAAGCTCTTTTTGGCATTAGTTACCTGTTCCTGTAAAAATGGAGCACTTCCTCTCTCTATTAAGACAGTGGTTTGCTGTGGGGATAAATTTATGCCAGAAAAAGAAGTAAAAAAGAAACAGATATGAGAAAAACAAGGTGTAACTCCTCTTGTCTCAGAAGAGGCAGCAGAGCAGAGCAGGACGGCTGCCTGGAAGGTGTGGCAGCTCAGCTGAGCTCTCCAACCACATTTTACACATAGCTGGTAGCATTCACTACTGTGAAATCAACTGGAGGTCAACTGTGCAGTGTTTTCACTTAAAGAGAGCACAAATGGGACAAACTCTCTGGAAGTTCTGGGCTCATTCTGAAATGATCAGTGTTCAGTCTGCCCTGTCCAAGTGGAGAGGCTTTTTGACATCCAGCTGGCTGCCTGCACACCACAGTCTCCACACAATCCTTTTTGCTTCCTCCCAGTGCAAAATCCACCATAGCACTTACACAAGAAGGCTTAAGCTGTGAACCTTAAGAGGTATGAAGAAAGCACTGAGGCAGTTTGTTTGAAGCTGCCATGAAGCTGTGTTTTAAAAAAAATCCTCAGAGTGTGTGAGTGTCACGTCCCAAAAACCTGAGCTCTGCAGACAAACTAGGACAAAACTTCCTGAATTTGGCCCAGTCTGTCAAAATGAATTCAAAGAGAAAGTATTAAATAAGCAAACATATTAAAAATAAACAGCTACTAGAAAAATCAAGGTCAAGTTTCTGGGTCTGTTTTTTTTTAATTTTTATTTTTCTGTTTTCTTTTTTTTTTTTTTTTAAATCAGGCCCTTCTGGCAATTAGCTGACATTTTAGGACTGCTCTCTTCTTCACTCAGGGTGTGACAACAGCAAAGCTGAGTCATTTTTACAGCAGCTAAGTTAAATATTGCCAAGAAGTTCACATGGAAAACAGACCTCTTCCCTGTGATTCAAATGTATATTCCAAGTTTATTCAAGCTGAATTATCCAGTTAGTGGGATATTTTTCCTTCTAAAAGGCATGCAGTTTTATCAACTCTTATCCAGAAATACCCAGGATTTAGCTTCCTTTTATTTACCTGTCAATGAAATTGAGAATCCCACAGGGAGGGCTCTAAATCTGCTGGTTGAACCTAATGAAGCCAAGCTCACAGAAGTGAACTGCAGCCCCCAACGTTCACAGTCTCATCAGGAATCCAGCGAGACAACGTTTTGGCAGGAAAACAGAGCATGGAGAAGTCTGTAAAACCATGAAAACCTCTCTGCTTATTTTTATGTACCACCAAAGCAGAATCAACACCCCACAACGTTACGAGCTGAGCAAACAGACACTCCTCTGGCCAAGGGATTCCTGCAGACAGAGCCTCGACCAAAAAATTCCCCTCGCCATTTTTCACTGCAAAATTTTTATGACCTGATGAAAACTGTAACTATTGCAAGCTCAGGACTCTGATGCTGCTATTCAGTGTTGGTTAATCTATATACTGAGGAGAAAAACTGCAAACATCTGATCACTAAATTGCTGGGTAACAGTAGAAATACTATGAAACACAATGTGCTGCCCTATAAAGCACTAACAGTGTGTGCCATGAGACATTTTTCAATTCTGAAGAAAGGGGACTTGGATGATAGAGATTAAGAGCATGAAGAATATAGCCTGGTTATACAAGATATATCATAATCATGAGATGTAATAATGCCCTGCACAAAAACACCACCACTCATTTGCAGATCTCAGTATCACCATCCTGTATTAAGCCTTCCAACAGTGGTGAGATGTGAGGAGTTCAAATCCCACCCTTTTTGCAGTGGAAGAAATAGAGATGTAAATGAAGTACTAAAATTGTCAAAAGGCTGAAAGTGCCCAAGTAGTGAACAGAGGTCTTGCCAACTAAAAAGTCTTCAATTGCTGTTTCTTGGCCCCTGTATCCCATCAAAAAGCATTTCTGTGGGACAAGCACAGCTCAGCTAATATGATCTGATCACACAGGACACTCTCCATGCTGCTCCAGAAAGACAGAAATGTCCTGAGAAGTGACAGTGAAGGCTACTATCCAACTTTTACAAAAGAGGATCTGAAGTAGGGGAGACAGTTTGAGTAGATGGGAGCTTGCTCTACTTATGCTCCATGTTAAGGAAAAGCCACATGAGCCAATTTGTACATGCTGTATCTGTGCTGTCAGATGCAGGGGAAGAGAAGGGTTGACCCTGGGACAGCACAGAGCTTGTGCCATTACCTTACAACCAGAACACACAATAGAAAGCTAAACCAAGAGATTATCCTGAGGTCATAAAGGCAGCCTGTGGTAAAGCTTATTTTTCTGGAAGACTATGAGCACAAAGTCAATGTTTCTGCTCCACAGCACAGGCCTGGCTCACATGCTGATGTTAAAATCCCTGAGCAGAAGCTGCTGCTCACAGTGTCTGGCAAAATGATGCTGTTTAAAGGCCTAAGGTTTTACACCTTCCAAATCAGCACTGGCACAAAAGCTGCTTTCACAGCTGGTTCTCCAAACGGGTAGCAAACCACACAGCTCTTAGTTGAGAAGAAGAATCACCAGCCACATGACAGGCAAAGACAAATATCAATTATTAATGTGATGCTTCTTTCAAAGGAAGTCTCTCCAGACAGATAAATGGCTACTTACTGTTTTGGCTGGAGCACTACCTGGCAGTGGGCTCGTCTCGATGAAATACTTCCTCAGAAGGTGTTTGCTGGATTCAGGACTGTCCATCAGGATGTAGGAACAAAAGAAAGCTCCATTCCGTAACAAAAACACGGCCACGTCTTCATTCCCTTTAGAGAAAAGCAGATTGTCTGTTCTCTTCTTCTCATGTACACCAACCAACAAGGAGCTGAACAGAAATCCTGAGAAATAACCACTTCTGAAAAATACCTTGGGGGTGTGCAAAAAGGAAACTGAACTGTGTAAAGACTGTTTCCTCCAGTGACAGGACCTAGCTTGGTCAAACTGAGAGAGCAAAGACACTATGGAGAAGCACTGGCCCAGGCTCTTTCTTTTTTCTCTGTCTTATTAAACAAAACACACATCTGTGCTTTGAAGTGTAAATTATTCAGCCTACACCAAGCATGTGTGCCAGAGTGTCCATAACAGTAATGCTTTTACTTGCAAGGTTGCTGGTTTTGAAGGGTCTTTCCCCTAAGAGTTTACAGAGAAAAGTTCAGCCTCTCAGTATTTACAGTAATCTCACTTAAGAAGGCCCTGACTTAAATTTGGCCAAGTCCTAAGACTCAGAGCCAATTTTATTTTCATTTATCCTGCTAGAAATCCCAGACAATTCCAGGCAAGCCAGTCCAGACTGATACCTTCCTAGGCATGAACAACTCAGCCTGTTCTTTCAAAGACCTTGCAGAAAAAGGGTAAAGTTTTGAAGCATGCAAATACATACCTGCCTTTATAGCAGCATACAGGGGCAACCGTATGAGAACTGGGAACTCATTCCTCCTGACTGCACAGCTCTCTGGGTCAGCACTGTACCCACGAATCAGGAGTTTTACTATGTCCAAGTGTCCCTGCTGGCAGGCTATGGCCAGCATCCAGTTCAGGAGCTGTTGGCAAGTGCTAGGACCTACCAAAAAGATATGGCATTGGACTTAATTGATGCCACCAGGCTGTGAAGGGCAAGATTCATCCACACAATAGCTACCAAAAGGGTGAAGCTGAAGACTGCACTGCAAGAGGGTGTTACAGGAGAGCCCTAAGCCAGTCAGGCACAAAGTTTTCACCTTTGCTTAACTGTTCTTCAGTACCTGCCCAGCTAATGGGCAAACTTTTTGACTGTCTCTGATCTCAGAGTTCACAAGCTAGCAGCAGTGGAAGGTTCTGAGGATGCCTGTTAGGACACCAGCAGAAAAATCCAACATCTAATTCCAAACAGAGGTGGAAAGGGATGACCAGGACTGTCCATGCACCCAGAGACAACAGCCCTGATCCAACAGACATTAGATCCAAACATCCTGGATAGGCCATGCTCATGATAGGGGATACACAGAAAGGGAAAAAACAGCTGACTTTTCATTCCACTAGGTGAATAAAACAAAAATAAGCGTTGCAGACAACACAAAATAATTGTTTTCGTTTCTTGTCATTGCAACCTAAAGTCTCCCACAAATAATTTCATTTCCCCTAAAGGTATTTCATTTGGGGTGATTTCTTTACTACCAATTCATAGTAAAGTTAGACAAATGTCATTTGAGGCTAAAAACTGAAACACCATGTTCTGGTTTCTGCATGAATAAGTCATCCCCCAATGGCTCTTTTTTTTTTTGCTGGTTTTGCCTGTAGAACATGGCTTTCCTCTAGGTGTGCATAATTCTGCCCATGGAACTAAATGCCCAAGACAGGATTATTTCTGTTGACAATAAGCAGTCCCCAAATCCTCCCCAATTCACAACATCATCTCCGTTTACTTTACAAACTCACTCCCCCCTCTGAAATGCTTATAGTAAAGTCCACAAGCCCAAGTTTACATGTCAACAATTTTTTTTTTGGCAGTTTCTCCATGGGGAAATTACATTACTCTTTGAATTCTTAACAACTTGACTAAATCACTCACCCTCATGCTGCAAAAATGGGCCCCACTTCAGCTGTGAGCCTCAAGAAGCTCACACTGAGCCAGACAGAATCAATGCATCAGCCAAATTGCAAATTCGTGCAACTTATCCCTAAGCCCTTTGATTGGTTTCTATGTAACTTCCCTGGGACACAAATGGAAACTCCTACATAAAAACTTCTGAAAGCTGCTGTTTGTATAGAGCAACTCCCTTGATCCCCTCCGAAATGAAGGAGCTTGGTCAGTTCTCAACTGAGCTAAGTTTCCAGAAACCACTTAAGTAGCTTTTCATTACTGAAAGTATTATATTAATATAATTCAATTTTTGCTACTAGGTTATAAAACCAGCACTGTCAGCCTCCTTTCTGGCTGAAGAAAATATTATGTTTAATTGTATCCCCCGAACTGGAAGGTTTCTTTTGCTTGTTAGTACTTACTTTAAGAACATCAAATAAGCAGGTTTCCAACAGGTTATTCCCGTTCTCTTTGAGGCCACTGGCAAGCACATGGCTCCAGTCAGGAGCCAGTTATCCTCAGATCAACTATTGCAGAGGCCCAGCTGAGCTGCTGCAGTTACTGCAGTCTCTGAGGTGGAGACCACAAGTCACCCTGGCTGCTGGGCAGCACTGCTGGACCTGAGAAGCAGCTGAGGGAGCTGGGGGTGCTGAGCCTGGAGCAAAGGAGGCTCAGGGGAGACCTTCTGGCTCTGCACAGCTCCTGACAGGAGGCTGGAGACAGGTGGGGGTCGGGCTCTGCTCCCAAGGAACAAGCAACAGGATAAGAGGAAACAGCCTCAAGTTGTGCCAGGGGAGGTTTGGGTTGGACATGAGGAACAATTTCTTCACCTGGCCCAGGCTGCCCAGGCTAGTGGTGGAGTCCCCATCCCTGGAGGGTTTTCAAAGCCATGGAGATGTAGTGCTGAGGGACATGGGTTAGTGGTGACCTGGCACTGCTGGGGCAATGGCTGGACTCGATCTTAAAGGTCTTTTCCAACCTAAACATTTCCATGGCCCTGAATCAATAGAGGGTCCTCGTGAGAAGTAGCTTCCATGCCCACTAAGGGAGCAAGCAGGGACCCAAACACACTTCCTGGCCCTGACTCAGACCAACGTCCTCCCCTCCACCCCCAGATCTACCTCAAGAATTGCATCTAGGTCTAAAAATGTCCCTTCTAATTTTGAACACAAGATGTAACTAAAACGTAGCAATGACTTAATGAAGGAATTCCCCTGAAATTCAGAGCAAGAGCTCACAGAGCAGGCTGCCAGCTGTGCACCCAAACCACTCCTGGTCAGCCAGTCATGCTGCTCTCACACCCAGCACCACTCTGTCTGCTGGATTAACACACCGGGATGATGCTGCTCCCTGAAAATCCCCTAATTTCTCTGTGGGGTCTGGGATGTTACCCAGCTGTGAGGGCTGATGGGAATGAACTGTCTAAATGGCATCTTCCTCCACTTCCAATTTGCAAACGTGGAATATTTTTATGCATGTTTTTCCCCCCATGGGGGAAGTTTTCTTCAAGCACAGCAGAGATTAAATCCCTCCACGCACTTTCCCATGACTAAGTCCCTCCCCTTTCAAGGAATATGAAAAAAGACTAATAAATGCCTGCTTGAAGCTATAGCACCCAGCTACTGAAAAGCTTGAGTAAAGGCAGAGGCAACCCAACAGGCTTACCATGCAAGGAATCCAGCAGCTCTTTCACAACATCCTTATGTCCAAAATACGCAGCCACCACGGCTGCATTGTCATCATTAGGTTCTGTTGGCAACACCACTAATGCTTCCTTGAGTAGATATCTCACTGCCTGCAGATCTCCATATGCTGCTGCAATACCTAGAAGCTGACACTGGTAAAGAAAATACAGCAAAATAAACTCTCTGTAAAGGGATTGAGCAGAGAAAAGAGCATTTCTAGAGCTATGCATTTATTTGTGCCCATGCAAACACACAGACACTGTCACTGGTTAACTGAAAATGTCATGAACACTAGTAGCCATTATAATCACTAGTGTTGATATGATATATTAATTATGTTAATTTGTTGGGCTTTTGCTCTGTAGTTTTCTGTGTGGCTTTACCACAAAAGCGCCCAAGGCACAGAATGGGGAGTGTAAACCCATTTTTCATGTGCCAACAGAAAAAGCACTTGCACAGCTCTGCTACAAGGTGTAGTATTTCCTATTTTGGAGATGGCTAATATGCCTGGACTTGACACACAGGTGCTCTCCCAAAGCACTAAGACAAGCTCTGTGCAAAGAGCAGGCTTAGAAAGAGGGCTCTGAAGGCAGAGCAGTGCAGAAGCTGGTGCAGAGGATACAATACTACTTTGTGTTCCAAACACAACCAGCAAAATCTTCTGAAGGGGCCATTAATTATCTTTGTACTGATGGGGGAATGCATTTTTTGCTAAGTATATACACTGCTTCCTTTTAAGAGGGAAAAACGTATTTCCCTGTTTCGGTGACCACAGCACCAGCAGCCCTGCTTGCACAGCCTCCTGTTCCTACACAGGCTGTCCCCTGTGGCCTGTCTTAACTTTCTGATCAGTGCTTTCAAGGGCAAATACCAACCCTGAGCATGTTTCTGAAGTGCCCCACGAAACCAGCCGTGTCTGGGACCCTGCAGCACCAACATAACTTAAACAGCAAATTTTCTGTGTGAGAAAGGACAGAAGGTGGCAACTTGGTACTTTGGTTTCTTCCCCAATAAAATTGGAGAAAGAGCAGTAACCTAACCCTACCTTTTCTACTTGCAGTGCAGTCTCCTCACATGATAACTTAATCAACTCTTGGGCCTTACTGGTGTCTCCAGCTTTGTAAGCATCCTGAATGCTTTCTGTCACAGGTGTCTGAGTTACGGAGACGTCGCCCACTGTGGACTGTTTGCCACCCATGTCCACAGTCCCTGCAGGTAAAACAGAAAAGGGGGAGTCAGGAATTATTGTCAGTGGAATATTTATGGCACACAATTAAAAAAATAAAATAATAAAAAAAAATAACCTGAATATCCAGTTGCCTGATAAAAGAAAGTGATAACATGCTAAAGTACTTTCTAATGGGACATGAAACTGAAGAGGAGAGCGAGTTCCCCAATTGCTCCCAGAGGTGGTTTCCAGAGGCTGGTGTGGAAGCTCACACACACAACACACACACTCCACAGCACCCTGTCCCACTCGCCCTCCTGCAGCAGGAGCCAGGGGAGAAGGGCTGACATGGGACAGACACCTGCAGTACTTCTGAAGAAACAAGGAGGCTGCAGGACCTGCAAAGCAGTTCTGGAATTTTTAGCCTTGCTTCGGTCACGCTTCACCTCCTGACAACAGCCTAATAAAACCCTCCTGTACTCACTTCCCCAGCACTTTCAGCCAGAGCTTTGCACACCTCAATGAATGGGAAGGAAAAGAAATTGGGAATATTTTTACTCTAGGAAAATACAGTAAAATGAGATTATGCCAGATGCCCAGTGTCACCCTGATCAATCTTGAAGACTCTCCTAGGCTAGATTTTCTTTGTCTAAATGCTGCTAGGAGCCAGGAGAGTTTTCACATGTCAAAGATTAAAAGCTGCAAGTCATTAGAGAAGATCCTTGTGGTGGGTGGTTAATGAAGAGGTAGCCATGAAGTCTCACAGCCTTTCACCCCCCAACCACCAGGACAGGGAAAGCTGCACCAAAGCCACTGATTTATGAGTGAGATGTTCAGATCCACTCCTGAACAACATGCAAAACCAAAACCAAGCACTTTTCACTTGAAAAGAGACTGCTTTGTAATCACTCTTTCCTGATAGAACATTATTAAGTTGTATTGCTTATTTACAACTGGTTAAATAAAGACCTTAGGCCCACAGATTTTCATCTATGTTAACAAGGACTTTGTTTTTCAATAGACACATATGTCACGCAGGGCCTAGTTTAATGCAGCCTGCAGAAAGAAAGAAATTTGGACCAATCTATAACTGTCAGTAAATATCATTGAATAATGCAGTCTGAATCACCCATACATTCTGACTAACACTTCTCATCAATTATTTAAATGAAGCTCAAATCCCTCAGACATCGGAGTCGGCTCCAGAGATTCGTGCCATTAAGAACGTGCCCACATCAATAACCTTTCCCAGAGGATGCAGAACGTGTGAAGGACAAGGAGCAGAAGTCAAGGCAGATGAGTGTGGTGTTAGATTGCAGCATCATAAACAGCATCTCAGAGTTCACATTAATAGGGGCAGTGTCTTCATAATTCTGTATTTTTAGGGTGTATGTGGGAAAAGAAATTCATCCAGTATTTGGTCCAGTCATTTAAAGCAGACCACCCACCAGTCAGGGATCTCTAACTACACTGCATATGATTTAATTTGCTTTTTAATGGACACCAATGTAGGAAATGCAAATGATTCTTAAGCAAGTAACTGTTTAAAGTGGGATAGATGAGAGGACTTTAAAGCAAAATAGTTCTTCAGTGTAAACAGCTCTAAGTAAAACCAAGAAGTAGAGACCCAAGCAGACACTGCAGTTACTGGAACATGCAATGCCTCCCAGTGCTGAGCCCTGTGATGAAACCCTGAGCCTAGAGAGAAGCCCTGGAATTCCCCTTGGAGGAAAACACGCCTCACTCTGGAGATAGAAAACAGCTGGGAAGCTGAGCAGGAAGCCTGCAAATCAGGGCTGACAGCACAGGAACTTCAATCTGGGTACTAACAAAATGCTGAAAGGAAGGACAAATTTTACTTCCTTCCAGCCTCAGTCCTTATTTTGGGGACTAGCACTCTAGACCCGCATCTGCAGCCATCCCACATGTAAAAGCACATCATTTCTGACAAAGAACTGAGCAGGGCCATGCTTCTGTCATTTTAAATCATGGCCAGGGAACGTGGAGGTACAAGTATCACTGACAGAGATTCATTCAGGATCTGGGAGATGCTGGTGTCACATCACCTATTAAAGAGGTCTCCCTGTGTCCTGCACACCAGAGCTCTCCTTACAGGAGCATTTCCCACCTCTCCTGCTGGAACTGCCTCACTCTGCAGGGAGGGCTACCAAACCAGTTGGCCAGCAAGCACAAGGAGGACCACAACACTGTCATTGAGGGAAGGAGGAACTCCACAAGTTAGACCCTAATCCCAACACCACTTCTGTGTTTTACCAAAAGATTACTTCACAAAATGACTTGTCTAATGCATCTTGCTTCCTCTTACATTTTTGGCTGCCTCAAAATGTATTGTCTTTTGTAGTGCAATGATTTAGTTACAGCCACTGCCACCATCACCAGTGTTTGGAGAACATGGGCTGGCCATGGACCACCACAGTCTGCTCAGTGCATTAGGTGCAGACTTCTTGGGCTCTCTAGGAATGGGAGGGTCACACACAGTTGGCTTCACAGAGTTTACATGCTCCCAGAGTTCTCTGACAGATTGATCAGAGTCTTTGGGATATTAATTGTAGTCCTCAAATTCAATTTTAGTCTTATCTTAAGCAAATTTTTATTGATCTAACCAAACCTGTGCAGTTTTGAACATTTATCAAGCAAAAGTCATTAAAAGCTTCATTGAAGGTAAGAAATATGGGCAATTCTACTGGTTGAAACCAATATATTTATAATTAAAATATTATTGGTTGAAAGATAACGCTGCTCATCATTCAAGTTTCATAAGTAACTGTCATTAAAACATCTATGATTGCATTCTGCTGAGTAAACTGACCTCCCACCTAAGACCTGAGGAAAAAAGCTGCCTGAAGTCTTCAGCCAAAAAAGACCTTGCAACTGAATTAATTACAAGCCTGAAAAGAGCAAAACTGGTGAGATAAGAGTGATAAAAAGTCTTGCCCTCAACCCAAAGCTGGACTCGCATGATTCTGTCCAAGTTAACTTGAGCTTTCAAAGGTGAAAAGAGAAGATGGGCCACCCATTGCTGCGCTCCCAAAAACCACTGACCCCATCCACTGCAAAGCTAAGCATCTCACCCACCAAACCACCCAGTTCACAGAAGACTGCCTGGTGACTTAGTAAATGATCTATTGACTTCTGAAATACAAATGGAAAATGAGAAGCAGCATGGTTTAGAAGTTTAATTTATACTCACCAGTAGGAAAAAGAAAAAAAAGAGGAAAATGACATTCTACTGACTAAAGATGGTTTTATTTCTACAAGATACATGACTGAACTATCACCAATACAGGCAATTCATGTAGGCTGGGAATAAAGTTTTGCCAATAGATGCATCAGCCATTTTTAGCAAAAATCTGGGCAGAAATCCAAAGAAATTCTCCTTATGGTTTTAACTCTACAAATCTCATGCTCTTTACCTGAGCTCTTCGGGGCTTTCATAACAAGGTCACCTCACTTGTGTATAACCTTGAGCAATGTGATATCAGGGGCAACACTGAAGCTGAATAATATCAAAACACTTGATCATGCAACATGCTGAGTGTTTAAACCTGGATGTAACAAAGTACTTTTAATTCTTAAGATTGCAGAGATGTAGGAACTGGTTTCTGGTCTACATTACTGTCTGACAATGCACATTTAAAAAAGCTAAGAGCAAGACTGATTTTCTTTTAAAAAAATATTCCAAGGGAAGCAGAGGTTCTCAGTCAAAAAAGCAATGCCATTTTACTGTCATTCCAAGGTTACAAGAGCATCACTTGTAAAGTGCAACAGCTGCTGCCTCAGCTCAGACAAACCAAACAAAAAGAAGTCATATAAAGAATAAAGGGTACCATGAGAATTTCAGAGACATATGCAGTTACACCTTGTCTCAGGCCTTGTTATTACAGCAGGGGGGGGAAAAAAGCACTCTAAAATTTCTAAATTGGCAGCATCAGCAGAAAGATGAGGGTTGCAGGTCACTGCTGTGAATCAGCAACCGGCTGCATATCAAAGCAGCACACTGTAGAGATGATTATTAGCTTTATATCCCAAAGCACTGCATTCCTGTCTCTGCCACAGAACCTCATGGTTTGTAAGCACTCCATCAGTCCCTTCAATAAGGCAGGAGTTTTTTGGCAATGAACTAGGATATTTTTATTTAGCAGAGAAAGAGATAAATGAGATGCTTACACAGGATAGAATAAGGCAGGAAGGTAACTTACTCCAAACCAGAATTACAATAATAATAAAACTTTAAAACTGCTACTGACCTTGTCATAATGTGTGCAGGTATTTCCAGAGGCAGGAGCAAACCAGGATGATGACTTCAACACAGCATCCCGTGCAGCGATGCTCAATTAAGCAATTAATCCCTCAAACTGTTAGCCACCCACCTCTGCTTCAGCTCAAGCAGCTCTTGCAGCAGCCACTGGATGCAGTGTCTTCTGGCTTGCTGGCTGCTTGTCTGAATTAACTACTACATTTTAGCCTGGACAGTTATTTTCATCCCCATGTCCCACCACAGTGAAATCCAAGCCTCTGGTTCCGAGAGGAGCTGGGGATGGGGGTGGGCAGGGCGGCCGCCTCTCCGGGCTGAGCTCAGACATTAATTCCTCAACAGCACCAGATGGCTACAGCTAACCTTTACCAGCTTAATCTTTTGCCATTTTGATTCCCCAGTGCTGCCACAGAACAAACAAAAAAATGGGACAGAGATGAGGTTTAAAATATGCTGAATATTTAAAGCCGACGCCCCCAAAAGCTTCAAAACTCCCGAGTGTTGCTGAACACTTCTCAGTACCACTCTATGGCAGCTCTGGCAGACTGGTTTGCAAAATTAACATAGAGCCATGTTATTTCTGAGTCTCTGTAACAGTCTCATGGATCTTCTGTTGCTTTGAAAAACTACATATTAATAAACCAAACTACAGCCAACAGAAAGCCTCCAGGGATTTTAAGGGGTGATTCATCTGTCCTACACTGACAAGAAAAGAACCACTATAAGAAAACATTTTCAATCCTATAGAAATCTGAGATACTGAAA